TGCTCCATTTAGGCGCGCTGCATTCTGATTGGTTCGGATAGCATACTGCGGGAGGTCGAGGGCGCGGAAAATCGTGCTATAAAGCAATTTAGAAATTGCACAAGCTCAAATCGCGATTTTATGACGATTTCGATTAATCGCACAGCCCTAGTTGAAAACAATGATTTTCATTTTCATAATTTTTAACTTGGATCTTCTTGTTTCCAGTGTTACTTTAGTATTATTTATATATTATTTTTAGTGCTGTCAAACGATTAATCGCGATTAATTGCATCCAAAATAAAAGTTTTTGTTTGCATAATATGTGTGTGTTCTGTGTATATTTATTATGTATATATAACTACTGGTTACAAGACCTAAACTAGTTTTTAACATTGATGAAACTTAAACTTTTCTTCAGAAAATCTTCAGCACGTAGAAATAACCCTCAGCCCTGACAAGAACAATTTATGATGCAGGGGAATGAGATCTAAAGTCTTGCCAACCTCTATAGACTGTGATGCAGGGTTGGAGTAGTACAGGTTCCGAGACATCCAGTCCAGAGCCAGTCCGACTGGAGAACCCAGGATGGCTGCTGGCGCGAACTCAGTTCTGTTGGTACCATCTGACTTTACTCGATGAATCTCCCCCTGTGCAGATAAATAAGATACAATTAATAGACAAAATCCGAATTTTAGCATTCAAAACACCTGTTAACTAGTTAAAATTAATGATACAACTCATTTGAGATAATTTGAGATAGGATAGTTGAAGTGTTTATATGATTTACCGGATGTTCCACCCAATAGATCATCTGCTCAGCATCATCAAAGTCAACGTCATATCCATTCAGCAGCCCGGCGACCGGCACCATGGCGTCATTGCTCTTGTCATTCGGGTTGAGCGGGATGCCGTAAATGATGCTGTCTCTCACCACCACCAGGAATGGATCCTCAACTGCAAAGTCATCAGCCATAATTCATATGGTATTCATAAAAATCATAATAATGGGCTTTTCAGCAGTGTGACACATCTTATTTTCAACCAAACAATTACGCCATGTGTAATAATTAAATGATTTTGGGTGAACTTCCTGTAAGCAAGCTCACAGATGCCTATCCTTGAGAAAAAGAAGTACACTTTCGCATATTTTATAAGAGCACTTATTAAGGAAATAAAATGACTCACTTTAGTAGGACTTAAGTGCATCTTTATATGTCATTTTAAAATTACTGTGAAATTGCCTTTGAAATGTGGTTTAAGTGTACTGCCAAATGTATTGGCAAGTAATTATACTAGTGCTGTTTTCAGAAAACAAGACTTAATATTAATCATTTTGCTTCTCAAGTAAATGCATCTTGATTTAAGAATATTTAGATGCTCTCTTTTAAGTACATTTAAGTGGCCTTTTATTTCAGTAATATTTTCTGCATTATCTGCAAGTTTGTTTTTTAAAATATACTTTTAAGATTTGAAGTACACTACAAGTACCCATTCAATACAATTAAGCACACTTATTTTTCACAATGGATAGCACAGATTCCCAGAATTAGGTATCATCTCGTTGCATTTAGTGCAGATATGAGGTACTGGTGAAAAAGGTCTTGCAGAGTAAACATAGCTGTGTCAGCACAGTTGATTGCGATAAACAGCCCATTCAATCACCGTTTGTCTGGATTAATTGTTAAACTCTCATGGAAGAATGCACTTGACAGCACTAACAAAGGCTGAAACCGGAGCGAGGTTGAGAGTTTGCCCTAAGAGAATGTTATGGGCTTCTTAAGACTAAAGGCCTCTTGCGTGCTTTCATCCGTTACTGTCAGCTGAGCTAAGGCCTTTTATAATAGTAAATGTTTGCCTCTGCAAAGAAGCTTACTAAGTAAATCGAAAATGGGTTGCTGTTGACAAGTTTTCATTCCCCTGAAATCTATATCCAATTTTAACAGAAGACTGCTTCATTCATTCACTGTGAAGTAGATTAAATGGACAGAGGCCAGTGTTAAAGACATAGACATGCATTATTCATTAAAACAGCCACAAGCAGGAATAAACTGTTACACTCATTGCATTAATTTATCTTGTCCATTAAAGTCCTTTTAGATACAATGGTTAGCATCAACCTCTTTCCCTCAACAAAAACCCAATAGGATTTTTCCATTAGCTTTTTGGCTTCTTTAGCTTTTGATTCTTACAGGTTTAATTAATTAAGAAAATCTTTGCAAACTTTTATGAATTTTAAAGCCTACATACAACAACCAGAAGCAAAAATCTGAGGTTACACTACATATTGGTAACATGACTTAGTTGTCAGTAAACTTCATGGCGATGACAATGCTTTCAATCTCGATTTTAAAGTTGGAAAGTCTGAGTTGGAATAGTTTGCAAGAGCATGATTATAAACACTGCGAGGGTATAAAAGATGAATAGTTTGATTCCCATTTAGCCACTTGTTAGCAACTGTCTTACATAAAAGCTTAAAAATCACAAGTGGGGTATTTCTGATTCATTTTATGTTGTAGAATAAAACATGAAAATATCTTGAGCTTGTTTTAAACACAGACCATATTTCAGGTATTTAACCAAAAACCCATTAAAAAAACCTATTGACTTTGGGACGATAGAAACGGAAGTGCAAACACTCATTTCCGGGTTTTAGGACTCATTCAAGCAGCACTCCATATTGACCAATAATTCTGCCAGATTTGAATATTCCTTAGTGAATTTTCACCAGAAATGTTTTTAGCATGTAAAACTGTTATGTAAAAAATTATGTAAAACTGGTGCATAAAGGCAGAAATTTATTACACATCTCTTTGGCTATCATGCTATTTATTAGATTTACATTCACATTAATGGTACATATTTACATTCTACCAGTTCTTGCTTTCTCTGCGAATTAAACCCATGACCTTGGCGTTGCTAGCGCCATGCTCTACTGTTTCACACTGCAGAAAAAGATTTTCTTACACTGTATTTTGTTACATATTATACATTATAGATACATTTACTTGAGAAGCAAAATGACTTATTATATTAAGCAAAATGACTTATGATATTAAGCCTTGTTTTCTGAAAAAAAGACAAAAAATTAAGTGACTATGCTTAAAACAAAACAAAACAAAAAAAATAAAATCTGTCAGTGAGCTAAAAAAATTAACGTAACTCAAAAGGGAAAACAAGATTATTTTCTTGCCCCATCGGCAGATATTTTTTCTGGTTTTAAGCATTAACTAACTTAATTTTGATAGATTTTTCAGAAAACAAGGCATAATATCTTGTGTCATTATGCGTCTCATGTAAATGCATCTTGATTTAACTCCTTAAAGGGTTAGTTCACCCAAAAATGAAAATTACCCCATGATTTACTCACCCTCAAGCCATCCTAGGTGTATATGACATTCTTCTTTCAGACGAATACAATCGTAGTTATATTAAATAATGTCCAGGCTAATCCATGCTTTATAATGGGAGTGGAGGGTAGCCCAAAATTTGAAGTCCAAAAAATGTAACCAATCCATTATAAAAGAAGTCCACACGGCTCCGGGGGGATAATAATGGCCTTCTGAAGCAATGCGAAGCGTTTGTGTAAGAAAAATATCTAGGGCTGCAACAACTAATCGATAAAATCGATTATTATCGTTTATGAAAATCATCGACAATGATTCTCATTATCGATTAGTCGGGTCTGCCCTCAGTGCACGTCCAACTTCAGCCGGTTGTGTCAAATTACAGCACTGAATTACGCATTTCTATGGACAAAATGCATCTAAAATAGTGGAGGAAATGGAATGAGATGCTGCTGGAGAGTTACGTGATCCAAGCTGCCCAAAACATGAGAATTCTTTATTTTAAGCTTTAAGCTAATGCATCAGCGTAATGGCTTGCCCCGTAAGGTGCTTTGACAGATGATGCGTGTGCGTCCTCACTCCTCAGCGCAAAAACTTTTAGATTTTTAAATATCACAAATTCACGTGAGCATTTCCATTTTTGCATAAAGGTCCGTGAATGAACGGCGTGTTAAATTTTAATCTTTACTGAATAAATTAAGGTTTAAAGGGCAACATGCACTGCGAGTATTTTATGAGAGTAGGAACTGTAAGGAGATAACAGCGTGTAATTTTCTGAATATAAATATCAGACGCTTCATAACCACCTTTAACAGGATAAAGAAATGACACGTGAATGAACGGCGGCTGAAATATCTGTTGTTGAAAGTTAAATTAAGGTTTAAAGGTCAACATGCACTGCGAGTATTTTATGAGAGTAGGAACTGTAAGGAGATAACAGCGTGTAATTTTCTGAATATAAATATCAGACGCTTCATAACCACCTTTAACAGGATAAAGAAATGACACTAAGACGTGACTGTGATCAAAATTACAGTCAAAAAGTACATAAACAATGCCAGCAAGAATGCAAGCTGTTTTGAAGGGCATAGGAGGCCATTTTTTGTTATGTGAATAAATACTATTTCGTTGTTTAAGTTTATTTGCCCAATAAATGACAATAACATTTTTTGATTTAAACAATTTTTTGACAGATTCCTAAAATTCTTAAAATGAGTTTTGTTTTCTCTTTATTATGGCAGGTGGTCTAATAATTTGTTAAGCACTGTATGTTTCCATAGAATTCAGTTGGCACGTTTGTTTGAAGGACATTAGGCAGAATGTGGAATAGTGTTTTTTGTCAATAAAATAAAATATATATATTTTTTAATCCGATTAATCGAAAAAAATAATCAAAAATAATCGTTAGTTGCAGCCCTAAAAATATCCATATTTACAACTTTATAAACCTTAATCTCCATCTTCCGCTAACTGTCGTACGCTCGTTCACGAGAGAGTGGCATCCAGCGGATGACGTAGGACGTAGGCAAACGCAGTGACAAACGCAAGTCGTTTTTTAAAAGTTCAACTAACTTTAACTTGAGCGCCATTATTTTATAATGGCATGTTGTCATGCGTGAGATGTGTGAAAATGCTTTCTGTGGGAAAGGCCCCTTCACCATGAGAAACTGTGCTCTCTGATATCCGCATCGGCCACAAATATTTGGCTGATGTATCTTGTACCTCTAGCGCATGTGAACTGGTCAGCGGCGAGAGTCCATCCAGACGGACAGGCACAGGAGTAGAACCTGGGGCCGATCGCTGACAGGAGACAGATGTGAGTGCAGGGGCTCGAACGGGGGTCACAGGGGTTATAACCTGCAGGAAAAAACACATCAAAACTTTGAAGTCAACATGAAATCAGTATTGCCCCTGTTTTCCTTTTTATAACATGTTTCTGGTTTTATTGTGTACTGTACAATTCATTGGTGCATGTTATTCTACAGTAAAAGATTCTTGGATTGACATAAAAACGGTCAAATATTGTCCTTACATTGTAATCATTATAAACACAAACTGTTTTCATCACCTAACAGGTTCGTTTGAAATGGTATGTATTGTTAAAAAGCACTATATAAATAAACAAAACAAAAAAAAACTAAATATAAATTATTTAGACTGAACCATTGTAAAAAAAAAAGTATACTTTTCTTTCAGCATACTTAAAAAAAAAATATATATATATATATACTTTAAAAGAATATACTTAAGTGTGAACTGAATGTAATGTCTTTGGACACTTATGTGCATGTTAATTGCTGTTAAATGAAAATTAACTCTAGTTTAAATTTACAATAAATGCTATTAGCTGAACTTCAGAGCGCTTTTTTGACCCACCTAAGTAGGCCTAAATTACTTCTACTGTCTTTAATAATCATAAAGTGTACAGCGAATTGTACTGACAAGCATTTATGGTAAACCTAAATAGACTTAAATGTAATTTCTATTGAAACCCGAATGTCATACAGTATATTTGTAATGATGAAGTTGCAATTTAATAAATTTAACATATATTAACTTCAACACAGTTAAAATTATGATTTAGTATGTTAGTCAACACATCAAAATAAGTGTAGTTCTTCAAAACTTGACAACAGGTTATTAAAACATAAAGACTGTATTTAAAAGTAAAATACACACATGTATTTTAAATAAACTTCTAATTTGACATTATTACAAAGTGCATATTTTAAAAGTGTGCAAGGAAACAGCCATAAAAGTGGCTTATTATCTCATAAAAATAATCTGCAAGTATAGTTTTCAAAAAATATACTTTTGAGATTTGAAGTACACTACAAGTGCACATTCAGTGCAATTAAGCATGTGACAAAAAGCTCTTATTATTCAGCACTTTTCAAACCTTTTTTCTTATCATAGTGACTTCCAGAAATGGTTTTGTTTTTGTTAAATTTGCTGTATTTAATCCTAACAATAACACTTTTCTCCTCAGGTAGCAGCTAGTTGATCTGGCTGTATTTCAGGTTTGTGATCAGTGTTGTACCTGCAGGCTGTCGGGCAGGATGAAGAGCCACCAGACCCATGGGCTGGGGCAGATTATACAGCAGCACTGTCTGGTTCTGTCCGTGCCACTTGTTGGCCCGGATCACGCGGTTGACGTATCTGTCGGTCCAATAGACAAAATCCTCAAAAATGGTAACTGCGTGGGGATGTTGCAGTACCTTTTCATTGAGAAACAAGAGGTGTTTTATTTATTCACACAGTAAATATGAAAAAAAAACATTCATAACTTAAGATACTTAGAGCCAGTTTTAATTATTAGCGCGAGAGTGCAATTCCAAAACAGCGCCGATGGGCGTGGAAATTTCTGCGGGTGATTTACTAACAACGCGCAAATGAAAGAACACAGATCTCATTTACATATCGACCAACGCAATATACAAAGCACAGTGCAAATTAGCGTAGTCGCGAATAAACAATAAAGAAATAAGTAAGCTACAGTAGGGTGACCATATTTTAGTTTTCCAAAAAGAGG